ATATGTATATGTATATGTGATATGATAAAGACAAACACCCATTCAATTTTGCTCGCCCTAATGCCAGATTCTACTTTTACCCAAGTAATTAAGATTAATGCAGCTGATAATTTAGGACGGGCGTTCTTAAATGTACCTTTTTTCCCCCTTTCTGGCAGCATCTGAGATATACTTTTACCTTAGAAGATTTATCGGTCTACTTAGGTAACAGATAATTCCCCGAGCGAATGGCAGCATTTAGAAGCAAAAAATAAAATAAAAATGAGAGATAAATATTTCTTAAATAAATGTCAAAATAACTCACTCCTTATTACAATCCCTCAAAGGAGCTGCAATCAATTCGGCACCTCTAGACAATTTTTGCACCATACGCTAAAACCTGGTGGCGTTTTCATATTGAATGCAATTGTTTGCACACAGTTCTTTATGTTTTAGGGACGGAGTGGGTGGCAATATCTCCTTCTTCTCCCATCCCCCCAAAAAACCCCTCCAATGAATGTAACACAAAATAAAAGACTTCTGTCTAAAAGCCTTGGGAAATGTCAGCTGCAATGCAAAAATCTTTAATAATTGTTCCAAACTAAATGAAGGGGACCTGAGTTCGAAACATGCTTAGCAATAGAGGTACATCTTTTTGCTTCAAGAAGAGTGGACTTTTTAAAGTGATGTGTGTTTTACCTGAACTGATACGGTGTGCCTGTTCGTTGTTGTTCCCTGCCTCGATCCATGGAGAGAGGTGTGTAAGAAATAAAATATTATTACGATGATGATGATGATGATGATGATGATGATGATGATGCTATGTGCCCAAGGCCACCCATTTAGTTTCCATGGTGTACTGGGTATTTGAATACCAGTCTGCCAGTGTCCTAGTCCAAACACTTAAACCATTAGGCTCTCTGGTTGACTTTGGGCCTTTGCAGACTGCCAAAAATAGTGCAAATTGAGTCCACTTTTAGGGTTAGGGTTAGTGCTAGGGAGTCATGCGAATTTTTTTTTTCCTGAGACATTAAGGCTTCTCTCTCAGAGAGCTCTGGTGCCACGATAAAATACAGTTTCCATGATTCCCTAACCCTTAAAGTGGACTCAGTTTGCATAATTCTAGCAGTCTGCGAAGGCCCATAGCTGAAGAAGAGGGTTTGGGAGATCAATGGACTCCGAAGGTGTCTCTGGTTTAGGGTGAGCAATGGACGCAATGGACGCTCTCCTCTCTGGTGGACAGGACTCAATGGGGCACTGCCAGGAGAATGCCAGGCTCTCCGAGCCCCCGTGCCAAAGGCATACCAGATGCCAACTGGGTTGACTCACTTGGAGCCAGCAGCCAAGGGTGTCTGTACATTTCTCTCCCCGCACGTCCGGCGCCACGGCCAAGGGAGAACGTGCTTTCCACGTCCCGGCTTTGGCTCATGGGCTCTCGGGAGCTTGCGACGGTTGGCAGTAGTAGCCAAACCAAACAAAAATTCCTGACATATTTTGCCCTTTCCTCGCAGCCAAGAAATTCATCTTTCACGGGAGGTGAAGCTGAGACCCAGCAGGAGATGAGTGACGGAAGTTTTCCGAGGTATGGCCAGAGGACAAGTCAAAAAAACTGGGAAGAGCTGTGTGGTTGGGTTTTGTTGTTTTGTGGTGTTGTTTGTTTTTTTTTTTTTTGGTATGTGTACCTTTTTGCAGCAAAAGGTTCTGGCTTTTTCATCCTGCACCCAACTGGAATGAGACCTCTCTCGCACTCAAATCTTTCTCTCTTCCTTGGGGCCAGCATTCAAAAAAGTCTTCTGTCAAATGTCTAATCTTCCATTTTGGCTCCTGCTGCACATGGTTGCTGTTTTAATCCACGTCACCAGCTTGTTGTTGTTTGTTGTCGTGTGCCTTCAAGTCATTTCCAACTTATGGCGACCCTAAGTTGAACCTTCCATGTTGTTTTCTTGGCAACTTTCTTCAGAGGGGTCTGTCATTGCCTTCCTCTGAGGCTGAGAGAGTGTGACTTGCCCAAGGTCACCCAGTGGGTTCACATGGCTGAGCTGGGATTCGAACCCTGGTCTCCAGAGTCCTAGTCCGATGCTCAAACCACTATGCCACATTGGCTCAACTGCCTTGGGTTATTTCCAATAAATATTTATTTCCAATAAATAACCCAACTGCCTTGGGTTATTTCCACCATCACCCTTCCCCAAAAGAATCCCAATAACTCTCCATGGCCTCTTAAAAGAAAAACAGAATGTGTAATTTTTTCTCTCTCTGGGCTCCAAAGTAGGGAATAATAGTCATTTCAGTAGAGGAAGTGATTTTTTCCCCTCCTTTTGCAATGTTTGCCAATTTTTCTGGCTTCGGGAGCATCTTGTTTAACAGACCTGAAGAGAATTTAACTATTTGACTGGCCAAATAGTCTTCTGAATATTTCACAGTGTACAAAAATAGGCAGCTTTCCCCCAAAATGGCATCCTCCAAGGTCTAGAGCTTGGAAAAGTTACCTTTTTGGATGCAAGTTGGGTGGGTCTGGCGGGTGCATCTATGTAGAAATAATGCAGTTTGAGAACACTTTAAATGCTGTAGCTCCATCCTATGGAATCCTGGGATTTCTAGTTTTGCAATGTCCTTAGCTTTCTCGCAAAAGTGTGCTGGTGCCTCGCAAAATGGAGCCAGGGTGGAGCCATGGCAGTTAAAGTGCCATCAAACTGTGTTATTTCTACAGTGGAGATGCATCCTTGGAGTTATAAGTCCAACTGTTTCGATGTTTTGCCCCTATTGCCATATTTTGCAACCCCGAAAAGTTTTCCAAGTTCTACCCATTTTCCATCCCTGTTTCCCCAGAATTTCTGACACGTTTTACACCTCACTTCCTATCTTAGAAACTGAACATTTATCTACTCGGGTTTCCTACATTCATGCAAACAGTTAATGTGAGCCCCAGCAATGCAAATATTGTGCATTATTTGGATACCCCAAAAAGGACTTTCTTCCTCTCTTCTTCTTTTTAAAAAGAAACCCTTCCAAAATGCCTCCTTTATGTAGCTGAATGAACCCAACTGTGATAATGTAACTAGTTCTGGCCTCGGTTGTTGTTGTTTTTTCTCTTGGCAAGGAGCCTTTGCAAATGCAAACAGATCAGGGGCATAAGTGGCGCATTGTTGCACCAAGCTAGTTGCGGTTGTGTGTGCAAGGAAGGCATTGCATTGCCGTGTGCCAACTTGGGCTGGATGAGAGGAAGAGGAGGGATGGGGGTCCCTCTCCTCGTATCAGCCTGGAATTTATTTCGGCTAGCCAAGTGTGAAACCACAGAGGAATCTGAGACTGTCAAGGCCATGTTGGCTGGGAATTTGGGTGATGGACAGGCCGATAAAATGGGCAGATCAAAGCGCCAAGTGGCCAGTGACCTCAGCCAACCTCTCCTGCAACATTTCAGCCCCAAGATGGGAGTAGAAGAAGTTGGAAAGCCCATGATGGGTCAGGGTCAACTCCCTTGAGGGGTGTAAATCTCCATCCTCCAGTTGGAGGTTTTGACAGCCTTCTCTTGGCTTTTGCAAAATAAGGGAAGGGAGGAAAAGCCACAACTTTGCTGAGAATCCGCCTTGAAATGTTTAAGTAGTATTTGAAGGGGTGTCATATTGAGAATGGAGCAAGCTCATTTTCTGCTGAGAATAGGACACAATGGAGCAATGAATGCAAACTACAGGAAAAGAGATTCCACCTCAACCTTAGGAGGAACTTCCTGGGATTAAGAACTGTTCGGCAATGGAATAGGTTGTCTCAGAGGGCAATGGAGTCTCCTTCTTTGGAGGTCTTTAAACAAAGGCTAGATGGCCATCTGACCCAGGGAAGGCTTTGATTGGGAGTTCCTGCATGGAAGAATGGGGTTGGACTGGATGGTCTTTGGGATTTCTTCTAACTCTATGAGTCTATGAGTCTATGAAATACCAGATCTGGGCTGGGATTCTGTTGGTTAGTCCCAACTAGAGTTGACACGTTGATCCAATGGTTCAATGGTGAGTCAACAGATGGGTAAATCAAATTGTCTCAATGGGTCTACTTATAAGGCTTAAGCCCAAAAGTGGTTTTAGTGTTAGACAGAGGCCAGGCTTGGCCATGGAATCTGTTGGGTGACCCTGGGTGAGTCACATTCTCTCAGCTTCAGAGGAAGGCAATGGCAAACCCCTTCTGAAGAAATGTGCCAAGAAGAGTCGATGATAGGTTCCCCTTAGGGTCGCCGTAAGTCAAAAGTGGCTTGGAGGCACACAACAATAACAACAACAGTAAAATGGCAAAATCAAGGTCCCTTATATACAATGGTAAAACCAAGGTCTGCTTTTTTGGGGGGTGGGGGTAGAAATTGGGGAATATTTTCCAGCTGTGGATGGGGGAGACCCATGGATGCACAATCCATCGGTATGGAAAGATGACTGCATATTTTGGAAGTACAGTTTGTGGGCCATAGTACTATTGTAGTAGTACCACTTGTTTTCTTTGTACTTTGTTTTATTGTTGTACTGTGTGTGTTTCTGTATGGTGTATTCCAGTTTTTTAAGAGTACGTAGACTTTTAACAAAAATGACTTAAAAAAAAAAACAACACCAGCAAACTTGCCCATTCCTGTCACATCATCTCCATTGTAGGGCCTTGCATCAGGGGAGAACTGTGTCTCCCTTCAGCTGTCATCAATGACTTGAACAGACTAGAAAGTTGGGCCAAAGCTAACAAAATGAAATTCAACACGGAGAAATGTAAGGTACTGCACTTAGGGCGGAAAAACGAAAAGTACAGATATATGATAGGGGACACCTGGCTGAATGAGACTACGTGTGAAAGGGATCTAGGAATCCAGGTGGACCACAAGTTGAACATGAGTCAACAGTGCGATGCAGCAGCTAAAAAGGCCAATGCAATTTTGGGCTGCATCAGTAGAAGTATAGAGTCTAGATCAAGAGAAGTCATAGTGCCACTCTATTCTGCTTTGGTCCGGCCTCACCTGGAATACTGTGTCCAGTTCTGGGCACCACAATTCAAAAGGGATGTGGAGAAACTGGAGCGTGTCCAAAGGAGGGCAACTAAAATGGTGAAGGGTCTGGAAACCAAGCCCTATGAGGAACGACTTAGGGAGCTGGGGATGTTTAGCCTGGAGAAGAGAAGGCTGAGAGGTGATATGATAGCCGTGTTTAAATATTTGAAGGGATGTCATATCGAGGAGGGAACAAGCTTGTTTTCTGCTGCTCCAGAGACTAGGACCCGAAACAATGGATGCAAGCTGCAAGAAAAGAGATTCCACCTCAACATTAGGAGGAACTTCCTGACAGTAAGGGCGGTTCGACAGTGGAACACACTCCCTCGGAGAGTAGTGAAGTCTCCTTCCTTGGAGGTCTTTAAGCAGAGGCTGGATGGCCATCTGTCAGGGATGCTTTGATTGGGAATTCCTGCATGGCAGGGGGTTGGACTGGATGGCCCTTGTGGTCTCTTCCAACTCTATGATTCTATGATTCTATGATTCTATGAATGGAGCATTGAGGAAAGTGTAAAACACAGCAGTTTCCAGGAGTCAAAGGGAATGCATAGTCCCAACAGAAAACTGGGGTTGGGTTGGAGGAGAAATCCACCCGGCGAGGCTTAAGAAATCAAAGCCAGCAAGGTAGAGCTTTCCCGAACCATACAATAAGCTGTAGGCGTGGAGCTTCTGTCATCTCTTTCCCCCCTGCTAAGAAAAATATCTTTTAAGGCATGGGAAATGCCTCCCTCAGCAGGTTTCAGCTAGAGGTAAATTGTATATAAGATCCTTTGAAGTGCTGGGGAGGGGGAACGGTGTCAGGAGATGGACATGTCTGTCAGGATCTTATGGCGGGGGTCTCCTTTTTCCAGGTCTTCAGCCAGCTTGGACTTCTTGTGTCCTCCTCTTCTGCCCAGAGCAGCCTATCTTGCAAACCTTGCTTTAGAAAAAAGGCATGCATGGCCAGCTTTTTGCTGAAAGAATTCATCGGTATCAGGAATTGATTCAGCCTGAACTTGAGCAAAGCTTGGAATGCATCGACACTGTAGAAATGATGCAGTTTGACACCACTTTAACTGTCATGGCTCCATCCTACAGAATCCTAGGGTTTGTAGTTTGGTGAGGCACCAGCACTCTTTGGCAGAGAAGGCTCAAGACTGTGTGAAACTACACATCCCAGGGTTCCATAGGATGGAGCTACAGCACTTAAAGTGGTGCCAAACTGCATGATTTCTACAGAGTAGATGCATCCTCAATCTCACTACACCTAAGATGAGAATCGGGAGGCTATCCAGATGTTGTTGAACTGCAACTCTCAGCATTATTCAACCTTGGCTGTGCTGAGTAGGGCTGATGGGACTTCCAATCCAACATCAGTGGGGAGGTTGTATGGTTCCCACCCCTGCACTTAACCAAATGTTTTCCTGTCTTTGTCTTAGCATACTTTCTCAGATTCCAGTTTCAATAAACATAAAAAATATGGAAATATTAAAAGACATAGCCGTGACAGTCTCAAATATCAGTATGCAAAAGGATCTTGGAGCACCTTTGAGACTTAACTGGGCAAAAGAAGTTGTGTCATGAGTTTTTGCAGACTTAGTCTACTTCCTCCATGCATCTGAAGAAGCAGGCCAAATCTACAAAAGCTTATGCATATTTCCAGATGCAAAGGGATCTTGGAGCACCTTTGAGATAAACTGTGCACAATACCTAGTAGCATGAGCTTTCATAAACTTGGTCTACTTCCTCCATGCATCTGAGGAAGTAGACCAAGTCTACAAAAGCTTATGGTATAACTTCTTTCACACAGTTAATCTCAAAGGTACTATAAAGATCCCTTTGCAAATGGAAATATTAGGAACACGATAAGCATATCAAGACCACAGACCTTCCAAAGACTCATGCCTGTTCTCTTTTGCAGGTCTCATGTAGCATTATGAGATGGACCCTCACCATACTTCACATGCAAGACCCGCCGTATAGCCAAGATGGAACCAGGAATTGCCCAAGAGGCTGAAGTGCCTCCCTGCTGCCTGAGGACAAGGGGTAGTGTCTGCGATGGACCTCTCTTGTGCTGATGAGCCGAGGGGATCAGGTTCTTTTTAGGCCTGGC